GGGTTAATGTTGGACTTGTGGGCTTGGGCAGCATTGGGTTGGGATGTTTTCGTGATGCACATTTCTTTACATAAAACTCTCTCTTATACATGAGTCGCTGGGGATTTGTTTCTCCAAAGTACCTAGACTAATACAGGAGATAAGACCCTCCAGGACAGGGTAGAACTGCCCACCCGTGGGGGTGTCCGACACTGTAACTCTACGGGAGTAAAATCCCTCTGCTTTCTCCCAAAAGCAGCCGATAGGTTCAAACTGCTAACCTCAAGTTAGCAGCCCATTATGGCACCAGGGTTCTAACCAGATAAGAGGCACATATACACATATTGATTTGGGTGAAGGGAAAGGCAATATACAACCATGGACGATGTGCGTTGAATCACTGAGGCAAAGGAAGACACGGAGAGGTGAAAGAAAGAAAGAAAAAAGATTGCAGCCTAGGAAGTAGTTCTACTCTGTCCAGTAAGGTTGCTATGAGTTGGCATCAACTCCGTGCCCCATGGCACACAACAGCTACATCACCTCTGAGAGTGTGATGGTCAAGCATTCAGCTGTCCCCTAAACGGTCAACAGTTTGAACCCACCAGCAGCTCAGAGGGAAAAAAGACCCATTGACCAGCTCGGAAAGGAGGCGCTGTAGGGAAATTGCACCGTCCCATGTAGGGTTGTTATGAGTCGGGACAGACTTGGGGGCATGTAATAATACCATCACGCCAGATACGTCCTATGCGCCTCACATGCATTGACCCATTCAAGTCCAATAATAACCAGATGAGGACGGACCAATTGTTAACCCCCTTTACAGATGAGGAAGGAGCCCTGGTGGCCAAGGGGCAGCTCTACCCTGGTCTATGGGGGCACTATGAGTCCGTACTGACTGGATGGCTGTGAGTTTACAGATGAGAACACTGTGACACAGAGCCGTTAAGTGACTTGCCCAGGGTCACATCTTTATTAGCTGGTACAGCTAAGATTCTAGCATCACAGTTATGGATTTAGGCCCAAGTTGTAAACACTGGACATTTCCTGGGGGGAAGGGGGAGAGATTGACTTCCTTTAATTAGCTAGCAAAACATACTCTGCCCCCTCCACTTTCCTGCCTCTCCCACTCTACTCAGAACATTCAGGGCTGAACACAGTGACCTTGAACCTGGATTTGAATAATGCAGTGACAGTCACATGGAAGGGCTGGAAACCGGGGCCAAGGCCATGCCAACTGGACCCTGCACATCCAAGCCACTGATGATGCTGCAGGCTCCATCTCTCGATGATGCCCTCTGACCAAGCTGAGATAAGGTGTGGGTGGGAGGCAGAAGGCCAGGCCCTGTTCTCATACCTGGAAGAGACCAGAGACTGCCCACAATTTTACGTCCAGGGCTGCTTTTAATACTGGGCCCCAGAGCCCTATATTTTCAGAGATTTTCTCTATCCTTAACCAAGCATATTTGAGTCCTCTGACTCCAGATGGACAGCGCCCTTACAGCACCTAAAGCAGCGGTTCTCAACCTGTGGGTCGTGACCCCTTTGGGGGTAGAATGACCCTTTCATAGGGGTCGTCTAAGACCATCGGAAAACACATATTTCCGATGGTCTTAGGAACCAAGACACCGCTCCTCTATCCATCTCCAGGGAGGTCCGCCCACAGGCAGATAAGCCCACCTAGGAGTACCCAGCATCAAGACTGTTACCCATGCTACACCATGCTTCAAGACAACGTTTCATTGATTTTTCATTAGAAATAAATAATTCACTACCTATAATTAATGTTGTTTTTGTGATGAATCACTAAGCTTTAATGATGTTCAATTTGTAACAATGAAAATACATCCTGCACATCAGTTATTTACATGAGGATTCATCACAGTAGCAAAATGACAGTGATGTAGCAGCAACGAAAATAATGTTATGGTCACCACAACATGCAGAACTGTATGAAAGGGTCCCGGCATTAGGAAGGTTGAGAACCACTGGCCTAAAGGGAGATGATCCAAGCTCTCTGACAGCTGCAGTCGTCACTAATCAAAGTGGAGAGCTTTCTGAAGTTCTGAGAGTCCTTCCCAGGCCGACCCCTGACGGGCTGGGGGAGGTATCTGTCCTGACTGACAGGTAGAGGGTCAGCTAAAACGAGGTAGGCCCTCAGCAAGATGGCTTGGCAGAGTGCCTGTTACAACGGGCTCAAATCTAACAACAACGACTGTGAGGGCGTTGCCGGTGTTTCAGGCTGTTGTGCTACGGTCACTAGGACTCAACTGAACGGCACCTAACGACGAGAAGCCAGGGCAAGGGGGCTGGAGAAGCGGCTGGGTTGGGAAGGCCTGCTTCGGGGTTTTACTCATTGATTTATTTTTAAATGAGTGTGTACGGGGAGCACTGATGGTGTGGTGGTTACACACCGGGCTGCGATCCGCATGGTCGGCTGTTCGACAACACCAGCCGCTCCTCGGGAGGAAGACTGGGCTTCCACTCCCCTAAACAGCGACAGTCTCAGACACTGGTAGGGGTCACTCAAGTCCGCACGGACTCGATGACACTGAGTTTGGGTTTGGGGTTTGACAGAGACGTAAAGAAGCTGGGATACGCAGGCTGAGAGAAATCTGTGGCTGCCCCTCTTCCTGCTACAGGTCAGAACTTGTAGAAAGAACTCCCACCCGGGCCAGTCTGTCCTTCTCCCACCCTCTCCAGGCAAATAAGCCTTGGGCAGTCTGATCCCAGGGAGCTGCCTGAAGGCACCCTTGGGCTTGCAGGTTCTCCCCCACCTGGGTCTGCGTCACAGGAACGGGAGCAGAGTCCATGGGGCGCGCCTCTGGAACCTGATCTTCACAATGCCTTGCTGAACCTCAATGGTGACAACTTCCGGATCCTCTGGCTGCTACTTGCCAGGTATCAGCTCTGGCTTGTGGTACCTCCACCTACAGCCTGTCTCCACCCGACACCATCTTCACAAGGGTGGGTTTGCTAAAGCCCATGGCGGCCAGTTTGTAATCCGAGCACCTAGGGGGCCTGTCTGCCAGCATTATATTCTAGCAAAATTCGTTGTGATGGCTAGGCTTTTCCTTGGATAATCTGGGTAATTGTAGATGCCCACGCCTCTTTTTCCTCATCCAGAGCTTTGGGGGCTAGTGGTTACACACTGGACTGCTAACCTCAAGGCCCACAGTTCAAAACCACTCTGTAGGAGAAAGACCTTCCTCAGCCTCTGCCTTCCAAACACACGGAAAGGTCTGATCCCTCCAAGTGACTCAGATCACAGACCAAGGGCCTCCGGGGTCACACGGCCACAGCACGGCCTCACCCTGGGGTCGCTCATATTCCAGGACTCCTGGTGTCCCCTCTCCATCCACTAACAGCCCCCTCTGGTCGCCAGAGGGTTTTGCTTCCATGATCTCAGTCCTCTGGAAACCCCTGAGCTCTGGAGTCGCAGATCTATAGCCACGGGGCAGAGGCATGGAAAGAAATGGCACTTTGTGGAGTCTGGCTAGCTGTGGTCCCCATGCCGGTTCAGCCACTTCCCACCTGCCCTCCAGCTACACTGGCCTCTGGACCTGGGCTTCCTCAACTCTAAAATGAACATGGTCACGCCCCCGTCTAGCTGCTGCCAGGACTTAGGAGAGAACGGGAGGCACTCCCAGGGCTCGTATTTGGTGTACAAGCTAACTACAAAACACAAGGTCTATGAGAAGTCACCACTCCCCACGCCCACCCCGTCCCCGGTGTCTTCGGTTGTCCCCTCCGGAAAATGGGCAAGTGAGGGGGAAGGGGCCTGTAAATACGGTGATGGAGACCGTAAGATCCCCAGCACCGTGCTGCTGGGACATCCAGGATGCCCCTGCCCTCCACCTTAGCCCAGCAAAGCCAGCCCGCGGAGGGGGAGTGAGGGGTGCGGAGGGAGGGGGGACGTGTGCTCAGGGCAACCCACCCCCCGAGCCCGGACCGGCGCCCCTACCTCCAGGTCGGCGCTGGCCTGGCTCAGCTTCAGGGGCGAGCAGGCCATGTGCTCCACCAGGCAGATTTGGCAGATGCAGGCGCTGTGCTCCGGGCAGAAGAAGTCCCGCAGCCGGTTGTGCAGCGAGCACTTGCGGCGCTGCAGGTCGGGGATGGGCGGCTGCAACGGGTGGTCCCGGAAGACCGGGTTGTCCAGGTGCGGCTGCAGGTGCTGGGCGCAGAAGGAGGCCATGCACACGAGGCAGGTCTTGGTGGCGGTCGCCTTCAGGCAGTGGTCGCAGGCCACCGAGTCGGCTGCGGCGGACAACGCGGCGGCGCGGCCGGGCGGCGTCCAGCCGTCGTCGGGACACTGGGCCTGGGCCTGGGCCAGCTCGGCGCTCAGGAACTGCTCCACCACGGCGCACAGCACGGTGTTCTTGTTGAGCTTCGGCCGCGCCGCGTAGACGGCGCGGCACTGCGGGCAGCTGTACGGGGCGCCCTGGACGGCCCACGTCTCGTCCAGGCACCGTGAGCAGAAGTTGTGGCCGCACGGCGTGGTCACCGGCACCTTGAAGGGCTCCAGGCAGATGGGGCACGACAGCTCCTCGGCCAGCGGTTTCAGCGCCGCCATGGCGCTCCGGTGCGTGGCAGGCGACGGGGCGCGCTGGGACGGGACGGCGGCCCGGGCTGCACAAGGTCGCCCCAGGCTCGGCTCGGGAAACGAAACCGAGCGGGGCCGGGCGGGGCCCGCAGCCGGGCAGGAAGTCACGTGGGGCGCGGGCAGGTCGGCCGCTGGGCGCGGGCAGCGGGGGCCGCCCGGTCACCGCCCCAGGGAGACCTGCGAGGTTCCGGCCTCCGGGGCTGGGCGCAGCTCCAGGCAAAGCCCAGTTTTCGAGCGAGCTCTCGAGCGGGCGGACGCGGGTTGGTTTTCTTTCTAACATTTATTTGTAATGTTCTGAAAGTAGTGCTTTAGGTGGAAGTCAGCAGGGCAAGGCGGTTTCCCATCTAAGAGTTTGCACAGGATGGGGTCCACAACAGTGATTGCCGCCCCCCCCACCACCTCCCCAAAGTGTCAGCACTCTATTTCCCTCCACCCCCACTCCCCGCCTTTCCGTTTCCTTTCCCAGGGAAGACCTACCCCTTCCTGCCCCATCCTAACAGTTTTAGGAGAAGGAACAACTGCTCCTGTGGGTTTCCGGGAGTAGAAAGCCGCATCTTTCTCCTGCGAACCGGCTGGGGGTCTCATACTGCTGACCTCGTGGGTCACAGCCCAACCTACGATGCCTCCACGGTGCTTCTTGCTCACCTTGTAGGTTTGTTTGTCATTTGGCTAAACGTGGGGCCAGGAGGATGTGGATTCGGACCAGGCTTTGAAGGGTGCCTAAAGACCACAGTTTTGAGGGTTGCCCCTGTTACGGAGTCGTGCCCAACAAAAGACCACTGACCCACAAGCAGCTGCAAAGTAACAAAGCAAAGTTTATTAGAGAAGAGCAAAGGTTTATTAGAGAAAAGACAAAGGTTAGAGAAGAGCAAATCCGGATTTGGGCTACAGCATGGCCACGCAGGGTCCAAAGCTGAAGCCCCCAGATTTGGGCTACAGCTTGGCCACACAGGGTCCAAGACTGCAGCCCCCAGATTTGGGCTACAGCATGGCCACGCAGGGTCCAAGACTGCAGCCCCCAGATTTGGGCTACAGCATGGCCACGCAGGGTCCAAGACTGCAGCGCCAGGCAAAACTTTCTCCTTCTCTTTATACACTTCAAACCAGCAAAGCGAGGGCGGTAGAGCATGGGGTGGTGAAGGACGTTTGCACAAGATAACAAGATGTGGGCAGTCTAGCATGTTCTGCCCAGCTTATCTTGGTCCAGGTGCACTTGTAAAACTTTTTGGCTGACATTTACAAGTGCCAGTCTGCAAGGTCACAGTAGTTATTTTTACAACTTATTTCTCATCTGCTAGAGATAACATAGTTTTACTTTTACGACTTATTTTTCTAAAAACATTCTCTTCTTAGAGCCGGGTCTGGTCTATAATCTTTTCCGGCCACAGATGTTCCTCTGGTGACAGTTTAACAACTTATGTGCACAATTATCTTGCCCAGTCATTCTGACCTGCTAAACTCTGTGGAAAGAGAACTAAAATGGCTGTAAGGGGAAAATGGAGTTAGATAGGGATAAAAGAAATTTAAGTCTAACAACATATACTGTAACAGCCCCGTCTCTATCAGAGCAGTCAATCTAATCTTTGTTAGCCTTTTAATTTTGATTCCGCAGTTCCCCTCTCTCCATCCAGGATCTCTTATGGTGATCCCTTTCCCAGTGCTCAGCAGTGGCAGCAAGGCAATATCGAGTTCTTCCTGTTTCAAGTCAAGAGACTAGGGTTCACGAGGTCTAAAAGCAGTTAATGACCAGAGTGGAATAATCGTTCAAGACCTTTATTAGCTGCTGTCGCATAACTCAGCATGAGAAGAGTCCACTGCAAACACCCATGAATGATTGGAACATGGACTGGACATAGCAAAGCATGAATCTGGGAAAATTAGAAATCAAAAAGGAAATGGAATGCATAAAGATCAATACTGTAGGCATTAGTGAGCTGAAATGGGCTGGTATTGGACATAGGAATCAATCAAATGCCTTTTCAAGGATTCCGCGAGGAGGCGTGGTGGATGACCCCTGGTTGACCCCATTGGCTGAATTGAATTCACCTGGCCTAGGTGGGCCAATCCAGGTGCAGCGCCCTCCCATGCCTACCCAGCGGGAAACCTGAACCTCTGAGCTTGTGCAGTGTGCTACTCCTTTGTTTCCATAGCTTGGCCCTCTGGGCATGCGTTAACGGACTTCCCAGCCCTACACTAGCCTACCTAACAGTCTCTTCTCTGCTGTTATTGAGGGACTGAAGTTTTCTGTAAAGTTTAGAGATCAGGCCCTTATAGGATACTGTCATGAATTCCCCCTATCCCCCACCCCCCGACTCTCAGTAGATTCTCATTTTACTCTTTCGGAGAAAGTGGCGTCCTGGGTTAAACATGAGGCTGCTAACCACAGAGTCAGCAGTTCAAACTCGCCATCTGCTCTGCAGGAGAAAGATGAGGCATCTTTCTCCTGCAGAGTTACAGTCTCAGAAACCCTGGGTCCTGTCGGTTTTGTTGATGAGCATGCATATTTCCTTTTTAGGAAGTTCCTCTTGTTGAGTTTATCTTCTACTGTTTGTGCACTTTTACTCTACTTAAGCCAAAGATGCGGGCGGATGTAGCTTTCTTATGGCCACTCTGCGGATGATGGAGCAAACCCAGGGAATAGAGAGGCCCGAGCCCCTAGTCAGAGCGGAGCGCAACATATTTCTTTCTGGATCAGTCTCCTTCTGTCCCGGGGTCCCGGGCTCTGACATATGGGGATACAACCCTTGGGGTTTAGAGCTCACATATCTTGAACACAAGAGCTCACACATTTGCTCAAAATGGCATATTTAGATTTCCTTTAACTTCCCATTTTCGGGCCTGGGTGCAGGAAAACTGGGTGGACAAGAGGCTAGATGACTTCCAGAGAGGGGCTAGGACAGAGGTGGCAAGGAGAAAGACTGTGTCTTCGGAGAGGCTGGTTGGAGTTTGCACTGCGTGCAGGGTAAGTGGCAGACACAGGGAAAGATAGCGGCTTTCCACGACCGGTGTGTAGTCATGGCGACCATTTGGGCTTCCCTACGCCACCGACTGTGTGCCAGCACTGCTGGAAGCCAGCAGCGGCTCCACGGGTGAAAGACCTGGCGATCTGTACAGCTGGCAGCCATGGTAACCCTGAAGAGCAGTTCTGTTCTGTCTCGCGGGGTTGCTATGGGTGGAATTTACAGATGCAGCAACAACCCAACAAACGCATCGCGGTGCAGTCGACTCCAACTCCTCGAGGATAGACTAGAACCGCCGCACAGGGCTTCCAAGACCTGCGATCCTTGCAGTCCCTGGACATCGGCCTTATGCTTGATCAAATGGAGGGGCCGTGAGAGAGAGGAGGACCCTCGAAAAGATGAACGAGCAACAGGGGCTGCAACAAGGGGCTCCAGGCTACCAATGTCAAGGAGGTGCAGGCAGGGCTGGCGGTGTTCCCGTCTGCTGTGCGCGCTTTGGGTCACGTACGGTGAGTCAGGACCGACTGGATGGCATCTCACCACCACCCCTCCTCGATCTTCAGGGAAGCAGACTGCCCGGTCTTTCTCCCGCAGA